TGCTATTTTCCCATTCCCTTAATCCAATCCATTCTTAAATCTCATTCTTCAGTCGTCTAAACTTGTGACTGGTTTGTTGTCTTCCTGTAACAGAAGTTCAAACATCACCAGTGTTCTCCTAATCCACTTCCAGTAGTGATTTATCAGAGATCAATAATATGGTCTCCCTGGTATGTTTGTTTCCTATCAGGCAGTAACAAAGAATTTACAATCAACTGATTCACCCAGTCTTTGCACTAGTAAACCAAAGGAAACTGACTTTCTCCTTAGTTAGAAATTATATCCTAGGAGTAAGGGAGGGGGAAGGGCTTGTAAGCCTTTCTTACATGTGTCCATCACCCTTCTAGTCAACTAATTAATGAAGCAGGTTTTTTGTCAAGTGTTTTTCCTGATGACATGTGGAAGACTATGTTGCAGAGAGAAATAAGGGCCCAGTCACTGATTTGTACTAAGTATTTTTGTGAATGATAGTCTGTCAACTGAATTTTTCAGTGCTTGTCTCTCTCTAGTAGCGCAGCAGTCAGGACCTCCAAAACAGAGTTTCTGATTAACACCATGAAAACAAGTACTCCAGCTGGCAATGGAGACTAGAAGTTCTTCATAGCATCCCCCTGCAGGGACTGGGACCAGTGCATGCAAGTTTATGGGAAACTTCAGCCTCTTGACTACAGTGAGCTTGGTGCTGTTTTCATGCCATAAGCAGAGAAGGCCTCCTTGAGCCTTTCATCTGGTGGCACAAACAAAGCAATGGAGGAATTAAATATGCCCCCAAAATTTCCTTTTGCTATAGTAAATCTTGCAGCATTCACACAATTGGATGTGTAAAAATTTGACTGAGGAAGCAGATGTGGACAAGAACTCTTACCTGAGCGTAGATAATGTGACAAGTGGCTACTGTCCAGAGCACTGGATGGGGGAAGGTGTTGGTTTCTGTCACATCCCTGAGTGCACCAACAGGCTCTCTAGGGGTTTGGCTACCTGTGATGAGGGCTAGCTCTGGTACAGTACAGCTCTTCAGCCTTGGAACAGACTTGTGTGAGAAATACCTGTGAGAAGCCTTGTTGGAGCTTCACCCACTTTGACTGGGAGTTGCTTTTAAGTTCAGGTCCTTGCCCTTGGTCATTGCTGAGCTTTGTGGATATGCGTGTGCCAACCAGGGTATCTCCCTCCCTGCTCCTGACCCATTGATGTGGCTTCCAAACTTGATCTTACACCCGCCTGGCAATTTGGACTTCTAACTGACCATGGTTACTGTCACTGGACCTGCTTTGCTCTTCTCACTTGGATTCTGTGGGAACACAGCCTGTTTCAGCAAGGCCACTGCCTCTGCTTGCCTTGTTGTCACCCTTGGCTCTCAGCTTGCCTTTCCTCTTGGGGCAGCACCTACACTTGCTGCTCCCTCACACCTAAGATTCAGGGCAAAGAAAAATGTCCCCTGAGATAATCTCAGTGCAAGATAGCCGGAGTCTTTCAGTTGTGGAAACTGCTCTGGATGTAAGAAGTTTAATGCATCCTCCTTACCTAGTCCTGAGTCATGTTAAGTCCCAGCCCCCAAACCATTTGGTATTAAACTTAATTATTTTTATAACATACCAGCAAACTGGAATCACAAAAGAACTGCCTGGATTTCATTACATGGATTAGACCGGCAGACATTTGTCACTGAATGTGCTGCTCAGGAGAGGAGCTTACATAGTGGACCCTTGATCGTCCTCACTGCTTAATGATTAGCTCCTTTTCTGCCTCTGTTTTGGACCACTCCAGAGAGCTCTGTTATCTGAGACAAGGCTCCTGTGGAGGGTAAGGAGATGGGTGTGACCTCATCTGTGCTGTTGGGTGCTTATATTGTGAAATGTATAAATATTGTTTGCTGATTCCCCAGGAGGAACTCTCAGATGGTTTAGAAGCGTCACTTAAATAAATTCATCATATTGGATATCTTCATCTGAAATCATCTTGACTTCTCACAGAGTAAGGCGTTAGCATGGTCAAAAACTACCATAATATTATAAAGGGGAGGTCTGTAAAATAGTTTCTGTGAAGCAAGGTGGAGTGGTGGTCTAGAAATCTCCTTCTGTGTATTTTTAACTGGAATTTGTGGTAGTTAATTTAAAACATTTTTTGCTGTTCGCTTTGGTTCAAATTAAAATTCACAGATCTTCATGTATTTCTGCTGTGATAATTAAGGTTGCCTGAAAGTCTTTACACAGTCACCATCCACACTGGAAATCTATAGCCTTGATCTCCATCTTCCGTGAATCTGAGACATCAGCTGCACTTCCTAATTTTTCCTTACCTTTACTCTATGGGATTGGCAACAGTTCCAGTCCCATAGTTCCTGCTGCAGTTCCCTGAATCTCTGCTCTTTTGAGCCTAACTTTGTGCATGTCCATCATGTAATTAGAGGCAAGTCTGTGAGGGGAAACAATTTTCTTGCAGTTAATAAAAAGAAGCCTAATGTGCCTGGTTTTGATGCCATTTGTAAAGTAATACACAGATGAGAAGTGGACCATAATGTTGGGATTAATCCTAAATGTTGGTGTTCATGTACCATTAAGAGTTTCAGCCTTTAATACTTACTAGTGTTGTATGTTAAATATACTTACCTCGTTAATATAGTTAAGAACTGATGGGTTATGTCATTTCCAAAGGTAATTGAAATATTCTGATGGCAACTGAAAAAGACCTTTTCACAACTATTTTGGTCTAATATGTCTAGTCTGTGATTTGTGGGAAGGGGTTACTGGTCTTCACATGGAAGTCTTCTGAATACATCAGTCCACATCTGTAGTTTATTAAGATAGCTGCTGTAAACCTTCAAAACTAAATAGCTGCCTTTGTAAGGAATCAGCATTTGTTTCTTGATTTCTGTTTATATTACTTTAAAATGTATTGTAAGTTTAGGGTAAGGAAGTAGACAAGTCTCCTTGTAGTGTTAGGTGACGGTGCACAGGACAGGCAGGATGCAAAACCAAACCAGAATAGGCAGCTCAGTATTGAAGCTGAGGACACAGTTGGGAAGGTACATTTGTTTTAGTCTTCAGGTACATTGTAATACTGCTAAATGAATACATTTATTGTAGATTTTATATTTCATATACCCTATTCTGTATGACTTCTGGTGCTTCAAAGGAATGTGTCATAGTCCTGTTGGCATTTTTCAATTCATCAATTTGATGTGAATGACCTGTGGAAGCATTGTTTTCTCCTCCTCAGGTCTTTCCAAAAGAATAGGAACAGGCAAAGCAGCATTAGTGCTGAACTACAGAGCTTAGTAGACTTTCAGAAATTCAAAGTTAATTAAAATTCAACATAATTCTGTTACGGGAAATTATAGAGGGGGAAGTACAGGACATGTGATTTTCCAAGACCACAGAGTAGTGCAGTGGTGTCAGTCTAAGGTCTGAGATCCCTTTCTGGGCGTAAACTACAAACCAATTGTCCTTTTTACTATGCTATGTTGCTTGGTTAACGCAAGGCTTATACAGAATCCTTTGGATAAAACCTCATGACTTTTAAGCGAACGTTTTATACAGTATGCAAAATAGAAATGTAGATACGTAATCACTTTTAAAATTCAAAATCACTTAAGAGTGGAAACTACATCTTGAAAACCAGTGATGACTCCTAGCTACTGCACAACTTCACAGGGAAAAATGTGCTCTAGTATATAAGGGACTGGAACACTTCACAAGCTAATGCTTTTTTAAGTGCTATTGCACTGCCCCCTGTGGTGTCTGGGCTGGTTGGATCTCCTCTGGAGAGAAAGGAAGAAAACAAAGGAGAGGGCAGAAAAACTAAATAAATAATTTTTTGTTGGGTCTAGGAGCAGGTTTAGCTGCTGCTGATCTGATTGAGCAGAGAGCATTTAATGCTCTAGGGGTGCATAAAGGCAGGAAGAGCCCTCGCTGAGAGAAGAAAAAACTCTTTAAGAGGAAGGTCTTCTGAGAAACAACATTATAGAACTAAAATAGAGCAACTAGAGGAAGGAAGTCCATGTCCTATATATACAGAAAGGGAGGGGGATCTTCTCCATAGTAACAGAGGGAGCGGGGAGGGGAGGAAAAGGACAACACAAACTGCAAAAGATGTTTTAACAAATTGTATAGAAAAGAGAGATTTGCGGTTTGCTCTTCTTCCCTGCTTGCAGAGCCTGTGGTTTTAGTGTGATACAAAATCCCTTTTAAAATGTTTGTTTAAGCCAATAAAATGGGGATTAATTTCTTCTGCACAATTATAAAGCTTGTACTTTATATTCTAAACGTCTTGTACTAACAAGACTTGAAGCTTGGTTGTTAAAAGAAAGTTTCAGTTCTGTGATATACACCTATGTACGTTACTGCGGTGCATTTGTATTATTACTGTGTAGTTACAAAAGGTTTTGATGCTGGAATATGGCCAGATTTTGCAACGGTATTTAATAGGCGGAAGTTAGGTGGAGTGGTCTGTGTGTCTGTAATAGTTGCATTGGTGTCACAGAGGTAATCCCTTGCATGGAAATCACAGGTATCCTGAAGGTTGGGTTTGTTCTGAGTTTCCTGATGTGGTTTTGGTGATGCACTGAGAATCCATTTTTTTGCTTTTCCCCCCCGCTTATTTCTTGCACTCATTTTCCCTGGTTAACTCCAGCAGCAGTCTTACAAAGCACTTGCAGGACCCACTGTTGCATCTCTTGCCAGGCAAATCCATATCAGTAGAGAGAGCAATCCTTCAGCCTCAGAAATCTAGCACTGGAGTAAACCAAATCTTTCACAATGGTTTGAAACATCCTTTCCTCCTTCTGTTAGCGCTTTTCCTTCGTTTACAGCGATTACTTCTAATAACTAGTAAATCTGTAACCAGTCCCAATTTTGACTTCATAAGAGACTGCAGCAGTTTCTGTTGTTTAAAATAATCTACTCAAACATTTGCCTTTTGTATTATGTGTGATGGATGATCTTTTTTGTTTTAAAATATCTGTAGTTCTTTTTGCGAAGACTGACAGCAGTGTCTGGTTTCAGGGTGGGATGATTAACTGGAATAGACTGTTTCCTCCTTTACGTCATAGACATAATGCGAATTATCAACATCATCGCCCATCTGAACAAGACACACCTCCACCTACTGAGGTTTCTGAAGAGCAGGTAAACACTTTTCTAATTTAAAATGGCATTGAAAAACTGGTTAGCAATTACCTCTACTAATTTTTTATCATCTGTTGACGCAATTTCTTAAACATTCTCTACAGCAGCACAAATTAGAATATGAGATAACGATCACAATACAGAGACAGCAAATTGCCGTTACCATCCAAACCAGAGTTTACAGATCAGCTTGGGACTTTCTGCTTTTATATCAGCTTGGGAGTTTCTGGTTTTGTATGTAACTGCTTGACTTTTGTAATTAAAGATGACGTGGTTTCACTAGTGGGGGCTATTCAAATCTGATAAATGTTTCAACGAAGGAAGAGTGACAAATAGATTTCATTATTTGTCTTGTAGACATGCAGGTTTTCCTTCACTGAGGTCTCCAGCTTAAGTTTCAAATTCAGCCATGTAGTTTTTTGGAAAGAAGAACGTTATGCCAGCTGTGGACTGCAACACACACTTGGCCTAAAACTTGGATGTTTCCCTCAATAATGTGGTTGACAGATTTCACATGCTGATGCCACAGAGAAGTTTGTGTCTCTTCTATCAAGTGTAGATTTAGACTTTTAGACTTTTATTGATAGTTTTATTCTCAAAAGAGAGGATGATTTACTAGGAAAATGGAGAATTTAAGATTAGTCTAATTTCTGTATTCAGGATTTATTGCATGCAATCAAGTTCTCCAGGTTGTAGCCTATCTGCAGTTAGCTGCGTTGACCATTTTGTAGTTTAAAGTCTCTGCTACCCTTGAACAAGAGTAGATTTCAGCGGTTTTCTTTCCCTTTTTCTTTTTTTTAGAGAGATAAATCAGCACTTTCTAGCAGTACACTGTCATTTCTAGTTAGTTTAGAGTGAGCTTGTCCCAAACAGAAATCTTTGCCATGATCTGATTTCTAGTTTTGACTCAATGTTAGATTATGTTCAAAACTTTAACTGCACTGGTGGCTTTGCTGCACACCTACTGGGCTACATCCAGAAAGGAAAAAAAAAACTGACTAACAGGAGAAAAAAAAAAAAAGAAAGAAAAAAACCCCAAACAAACAGAAAAAGAAAGAAAAAAAAAAAACACAACACCAAAACAAACATCAAAGAACACTTCTGACACAAAACTTAGTTTTGGCCAGCCTGGAAGCCTACTCAGTGCCAGGTATGGAGTGGACCAAAAGATTTCTCTGCTGGGTTTGTTTATTTGTTTTATTGACAAATGCTGCTTATGGGAACTTTTATTGTTGGGCTGGAACTAATGAAAGAGTTATTAGTCTGACTTACGCTGGATTCTTACCCAAAGCCTTTAGGCCCAGATTTATGAAAGCAATATGCGCTTATATTTTCTCCTTGAAGTTGCAGAGCTGAACTGATTGCTGTCATTTGCAATGTTGTCTGGTTACCCTTGAAAGAAAAAAGTAATCTGAGCACCTTTGATTTTCTCAGGACTGTACTAGTAACTGCACAAGTTGTCTTAGAACGGCAGAAATGCAAGGGTTTCTTCTGTTCTTCAGATTAAAATTTGCAAGCATTTGCCATGCTTTTGGTACAAAAATCTCTGCATTTCTTGTGGGTTTTTTAGCACCTTAAATTGCTGTTACCAGTACACATCTCTGTTTCCTGGAGCTGGATTCAGTTCCTGTGGTTAAAATATACTCAGATGAAATGAACTTTTTGTTGTTACAATCTATTCCCTGTGATGCTCGATGGTTATTTCTGAGACTGAGAACATTGCAATTCCATCCACCGCTTCTTAAGGTTAGAAATCGTGGCAACTGCAGTGAAAAGCTTTCTTCTGAAATGTATTTCTGTGGTTAGCTTTTATTCCACTGCCTGCCCTTTTTCTCATAACAAGCACAATCTTAGATGGAAAATTAGACAGGAAACTTTAGAAAGTTACAGGTTATGAAATCCAGTTTGAAGCTACACTATTGTTGCAGAGATGTTGAAAGTAACAATTCATTTCTCTCTCTACAAGAAAGTGAGAAACCGACATGGGGTTTTAAGGCGGGGGAAAAAGGGGGAAAGGCACAAAAATGGTCAGTACTGTATTTGATATTCTGACAACCAAGGTAGCCGTTCTCAAACGTTTTGTAACAGTGTATTTAGATTAAGGAAAGGAGGATCCCCACCTCTAGGTATACTTGGCAATAGTATATTTCTCAGTAAGCCACCAAAACAGAGATTAAAAATACTGGAAGTTCTGGAGGTGTCTTAGAGGAAGAGGAGATTGCTTTTAATGGCACCTTTCTTTTAAAAGGCATTTAAAGTACTTTCAATACTAGCGCACATCGCTCTTGCACTCCTGAGAG